ACTAAACAAGTAGGCTGAACGAAAGCCTAGTAATAAACTGGGTATTAAGTAATGTAACTAACATGTCAGTACGAAAATTACAAATGGAATTCGGCTATAATCTTGCTGGTGACTGTTTTATTTAAAGACTATGTTGGTTTTTAGGTGCGATTCTGTTTTTTTATTGCCTTTGACGGGAGACGAGTTAGCAAATCATTTTTTGGTAATTACAGCCGCGCCTTTACTGTATTAAGAATGTTAGTGAATAGGTAATAGGTAGGTCGAATAATAGGTGAATAGGTAGGTCGTACGAAAAACTGATTGCGAATCCCAATGTGAGGATTTATGGCTGACTTTGAAAATAGGCAAAATGGTGTTAAATATTTGTGCTGTGTACATCCCATCTCCTTTGAATGTTGATTATGTCGACATTTTTACCAAAAATACTGTGCAGGTTATTCACAACAACATGACAAAAGGTATTACTGAACCATTATTTCTTTTAGTAGGAGACTTTAATATGGGGGATATTGAGTGGTGTAAAGATAATTCTTCTGCATAAATGACCCCATCAACATCAGGGAATAATGTCTATACAGAATTTTTAGACGCCATGTCTTACTGCGACCTTTATCAGTTTAATGATATGATCAACGCTAATAATCGAATCCTTGACTTGGTATTTAGTGGTGCGTCAAGTCATATCTCAATTGAATCTGCCAAGGGCTTTTCGACTGCACCTGACCCATACCATCCGCCACTGNAAAAAAAAAAAAAAAAAAAAAAAAAAAAAAGGTATGCATTGAATTTTGGCTTGATTTTTAATGCCCTGTATTATTGTAGATGTAGCTATCTAGGATTTGCTCTTCTTCCTTCCCTCGATGCCGTCGCACGGTTTGCACGCTGTACTGTTATTGCTAGTGGTAGGACCTCTTGAGAGTCTGCGCTGGTAGGTACCACCACCCTGCCTATTTCTGCCGTGAAGCAGTAATGCGTTTCGGTTTGAATGGTGGGGCAGCCGTTGTAACTATACTTGAGACCTTAGAACTTACATCTCAAGGTGGGTGACGCATTTACGTTGTAGATGTCTATGGGCTCCAGTAACCACTTAACACCAGGTGGGCTGTGAGCTCGTCCATCGTATCTAAGCAATAAATAAATAAAAGTTCCTTTATAATAATATATCTTTGGTATTATTGTACTGTCTGTCCGCCTGATTACTTTCAATATACTGCTGGATGCTTACTGATGGTTTGTTTTGAATCCCACGCAAGTTCTACCTGCGTGACTGACACGAACCAGAGGCTCGCATGTCATTCATCTGCTCTAATATACTGTGCACTTTTTTTTTTAATGTTTTTTTTTTGCCCTTGTTGACAAACGAGCGTACGGCCCATCTGATGGTGAGTGGTTACCGTCGCCCATGGACTTCAGCAATGCCAGGGGCAGAGCCAAGCCGCTGCCTACAAATACTTATTTGTCACTAAATATGTAATACATAGTGTATAAACGAATCTGTACGAATTACAATGAAAAAATCATACGGCTGTCTAAAAAATTTCGTAACAGTCAATCACTTTGCGAAGTGTCCAACTGTCAGAAGTGTTGTACAAGTTGATCCTCTCGTGAATTTGGTTCAATTTAACGAATGACCTCGATTCTTTTCGGCTTTGTAATCGAGAGCGATCTAGATTGGACATCTCCGTATACACAAAAGTGAATATTTGTGGCTCACTTTTTTGTTCATATTGAAACTTTCAGTGTTCTATTGTTGGCAATTCAATGTAGTTTTCCGGAATTCTCTATTTATAGCGAATACGTGGTCGGGTTCTCTTAGTTAATTATGAATCTCATTTACGAACCGTACTGTTCAAACCTACTTATTGACCTGTAAAATTGGACTCCAAATAGATTGTATTTTACAAACCTGTGACATTTAAAATTGATTTGGTTTGTTTTTTTTCTTCGGGAAGCTCGCGTCCGCTCTGGAGTTTAGCGATTATTAGCAACTATTAGCTAGGGTACTGAAAGGAAGCAACCATTTAATCTATATATTTCTGCTGCGATTCTGGTGTACGGTCGGGTTTTTTTTTTATTGTAATATGACTGGACTATTTCACAGCTCACCTGGTGTTAAGTGGTTACTGGAGCCCATAGACATCTACGACGTAAATGCGCCACCCAATTTGAGATATAAGTTCTAAGGTCTCAGTGGACACACACTGGATTACTACTCTCATCTCGGGTTTAGGGATCTCAATTATCAGCTACTTCCAAACCCACAGAAGAGAATTGATCGTATTGACATCGAGTCGTGTCGTCGCGAATTGTTTGATATCGTTCTGTGTTCTGTATAGTACGTTTCATGAGGATCGCTCCGAGAAATTGATTAACATAACGCCGTCATCTTTTTATTATCAAAAAGGTACTATCGGAGTAGAGTTCTTCCTTGTTACGTAGCACCACTGCGCTCATCCAAAGTACACTTCTAGATATATTTTTTGTCTCGTTCTATGGGACTTTGGAACGACTATCAACCTTAAATATTCGATAGTTTCGGAAAAATATGATATGTCTTTCTTCAAACGGAGTTCGAGGAGAGTTTACCGCGGTCACTGTTTATAGTTATATATTTATAAAGTACGTGAGAAAAAAAAACAGGAAAATCCCAAAAAAAATTCTATTCTGTGTCCGCAAGTAGCCAGCCCGAGGCGATAACTAGGAGATGGGCCTTATGATCGACTACTATCAGAGACAGCAAAAAAAAACCACACAAAATACAGTCACCTAGCAGGAGAGACAAGAAAAAATTCGTGAATCACGGGTCATAAAAACCATTAGATCTGTATAAGTGATCTCTCAACCTCCTTAACGTGTCCGTTAACGGCTATCTTAGCTTCGTTTAGCATGAATTGCTATCTAAGCCAAATTATGTTTTGAAGGCTATTGTAGGACGCACAGTGCAACAGAGTCGCCATTCTTACTTCTGTTGTGAGATCTCTTCCAAACGCTCATGGGGGACATATTTAAGATGTTTTAAAATATCCCTGTAACGTATTTCCCTCGTGGTGTGAGCTTTCAAGTGGTCAGTAGACGAAAGATGTAAGCAAACTGTGGTCATCCAAATGTATAAGATGTCCATTGACCAGAGTTGTTATACAATCAGTGTGTACATACGTCGTCGCTTTTGTGTAAAATTAATAGAGTTACTTGACTGACGGATAGAGATTCATCAAAGATCATTATTCAGTGCTAACTGTATGCGATTGGCAAATATTGTTTAGTTAGGGCTAAATAATAAACATTTAGAAAAAATAAAGTATATTGAAAAACTTAGATAAAAAATAAAAAGTCTAGTCGCCCTCGTCTCCCCCTTCTTCCTCCTCGTCGAACTCGCCTTCTTCTTCAGCAGTAGCATCCTGGTACTGTTGGTACTCCGATACCAGGTCGTTCATGTTTGACTCTGCCTCTGTGAACTCCATCTCATCCATACCCTCGCCTGTATACCAATGTAAGAACGCTTTGCGCCTGAACATAGCCGTAAACTGTTCCGAGATTCGTTTAAACAGCTCCTGTATTGCTGTTGAGTTGCCTATGAACGTAGCAGACATTTTCAGCCCTCGAGGCGGAATATCGCAAACCGCTGTTTTAACGTTGTTTGGAATCCACTCAACAAAGTACGATGAGTTCTTGTTCTGAATGTTCATCATTTGTTCGTCCACCTCCTTCATAGACATGCGACCTCGGAAAACAGCGGCTACAGTCAGGTAGCGACCGTGGCGCGGATCACAAGCCGCCATCATGTTCTTCGCGTCAAACATCTGCTGCGTCAACTCCGGCACCGTCAGCGCACGGTACTGCTGACTCCCGCGTGACGTCAGAGGTGCGAAACCCGGTATGAAAAAGTGCAACCGGGGGAACGGCACCATGTTCACTGCTAGTTTGCGCAGATCTGCATTCAACTGACCAGGGAACCGTAGGCAAGTCGTCACGCCTGACATTGTCGCCGAAACAAGATGGTTCAAGTCGCCATAAGTCGGGGTTGTTAGCTTCAGCGTTCGGAAGCAGATGTCGTACAGAGCCTCGTTGTCAATGCAGTACGATTCATCTGTATTTTCCACCAACTGATGTACGGAGAGGGTTGCGTTATACGGCTCAACTACGGTGTCAGACACTTTCGGTGAAGGAACAATACTAAAAGTATTCATTATTCTATCAGGATATTCTTCACGGATTTTGGAAATGAGTAACGTTCCAAGACCAGCTCCGGTTCCTCCTCCAAGTGAGTGAGTCAACTGGAATCCTTGCAGACAGTCGCAACCTTCAGCTTCTTTTCTGACTACATCGAGCACAGAATCTACCAGTTCTGCGCCTTCGGTGTAGTGACCCTTAGCCCAGTTGTTGCCAGCACCCGATTGCCCAAAGACAAAGTTGTCCGGACGGAAGATCTGACCGAATGGTCCAGAGCGTACAGAGTCCATTGTCCCGGGCTCCAGGTCAACAAGGATAGCCCGAGGCACGTACTTTCCTCCGGTCGCCTCGTTATAATATACGTTGATGCGCTCCAGCTGGAGGTCGGAGTCTCCGTGATACGTTCCCGTCGGATCGATGCCATGCTCATCGGATATAACTTCCCAGAACTAAAAAACAGTTGACATTTAGAACAATTTTCTGTATTTATTTTTATTGCTTAGGTGGTTGGAACTCATGGCTGAACTCACGGCCCACCTGTTGTTAAGAAGTTACCGGAGTCCATAGACATCTACAACGTAAATGCCGCCACATACCTTTAAGTTCTAAGGTCTCCGTTTTTACAGTACAACGGCTGCCCCGCCCTTCAAACCGAAAAGCATTCCTGCTTCGAAATAGGCAGGATGGTGGTACCTACTCGTTCAGACTTACAAGACGTCCTACCACCAGTATGCAATTATTGAATCCGATTAAGAGGACATTCTAATTATTCTATTAATAACTAAATCGGGCTTATAGCGTGTAATATTTGGCGATCGTGTTAGGTGCTATACTTGAAAGATAGTTTTAATTAAAATGATGTAGGATGATAAAATCTTCAGTGAATCCATTTTATTCAAAAATTACATTTACAAAACTCTATAACCAAACGAATATTTTAATGATAAAAATAATATGGTGTTTAATGGTTTGAGGCTTTATTTTTTTTTACATCACAGACATCAAAATAGTGACTTAAGCAATGAGTGGCATTGTGAATAAATCATATTTTTTTAAATATGTGTAGCAAGCAAAGTCTAGTTTTAACATAATGTATTAGCAAAAAAATATAATTTAATTGATAAGGTAGGTACCAAACACGCATTGATCAATAAATACTAAAGAAATTGTTTTCGCATTTTAAACTATTATGAAAACATAGATAGATTACCTTAGCTCCAATTTGATTGCCGCATTGACCGGCCTGTATGTGTACAATTTCCCTCATTTTAAACGGAATAAAAACACTTTTCTAGTAACTACAGAGATTGGGAGGACTTACTCTACTCACTGCAGATCAATAAAAACAATTGACATTACGGAACGTAGTTCGAATTTCGTGCGACATTCGAAAAAATTCAAAAAGGCCAGTTAGTTATATTGTTGCGAACTTTTTTCATTTTCTATATGTAGGTTTTAATGCCTTACATTTAAGAAAAAATTTCGGGATTCGTTGTGTTTAGATTTACATCAATCCAGTGACTAAAAAAAGTATTCAATATATATAAAAATGAATTGCTGTTCGTTAGTCTCGCTAAAACTCGAGAACGGCTGCACCGATTTGGCTAATTTTGGTTTTGAATTATTTATGGAAGTCCAGAGAAGGTTTAAAAGGTAGATAAATATGAAATTCTCGGAATTAAATAAAAATAACAATTTTGTTTTTCCTTAGATGTGTCCCTCGTCGGACGGATTCCTTTTGTTTGTTTTAAATTTATTTTATACAAAAGCTTAGGTCTTTTACTTATCGATTGAGGCACTACGAAGTCTGCCGGGTCAGATAGTTATCAATAAAATTGTAAGTGATGACATCGTTTACGTAATTGTAAATAAGTTTTATTAGAAGGCAGTTTATGCTTAGTGTTTTTCCTTCTGTGTCCTTTTTCCTTCTTTTATTTCCAAAATATAAATATATTTCTTGGTCTTGTTGTCTCCAATGCGAGGGATTGGCAGCTTGAAATTCCTAAGAGAAGGTTATTCCACGCCCTTGAAGATTCCTATGGGTTGAAGAGGCCATTTTTTTAGAAGTTGACTACATACAGCCTTTCAATTTACAGTTTTATAATATACATAAAAAACCACGTTCTATTTCTTTTTTGAACACCGCAATATTTGTCCATCACATCATCACAGCTCTCTTCGCATAGATTTTTTATTATTTTCCCTACCTATGCTGATAGCCTAGAGAGGCTCTTTCAGCTTCGCCTTGACGTGTGAGTGAGCTTACAGGGCTCAAACCGGGAGTTTTGCTGACACTGGCTTTAGCAAGAGCAGTGCTTCTACCACCGGATCGGAAACGAAACCTACTAAGAAGATCCGGCGAGAACTCAGTGGGCTATGTCTTTGTGGGTTAATTTACTCGTCGAGCCCTTCGTCGCTCGCGACGGGTTCGGCGAGGACGGTGACCGGTGCTTGAGGTACCTAAAAGCACCGTTAATAGATCGGGAGGATCCGTAATAACGTGTTTAGGGCGTCTTATCTGAGAGTTTATTGTTTCAGTGTCACTCTGTTAAAACAAGTTTTAGAGTAAATGAAAGTAAGTATGAAAGGCATTAAATGTCATAAAATCTTTAGCGCATCTGCAAGAACTTGTTATCTATTCCACTATTTTACTTGCTTATTTTCTAAAGCCCTAAAGACCCTTCAAGTAGGCTTTCTTTAATTAAACACGCTTATGTATACATCTAAGCTATATATCTTAGATATATGAAAACAGTTTAATAAGATACCCTTTCAATGATTACACGTTTTCCTTATCTCTTTTCTTCTTTTTCATTCTTTCTATTTTTTTGTCACCTTCTTTCCTAAAATAAAGTCCTTCTACCTAGATCTGGTGGTTGGCTTTGTGGCCCCCATACCCCAGTATTATTACGTTATTAAGTATGTGGCGTTTAAGTACGCACCTTTTTATGATGCGTAAGCCGGAACGCACGAGATGTGAAAAACAGAATATAGTCTGTGAGACAATACCTTTTTACCGCCAAATATGAAAAACATAAAAATAATTTATAATGTGTTAAATAACTAATTTAATGTAATTACTTGATGCCGCTACAACAATAAAATTTATATTGTTCCAACTGTGGTGTTAATTACATAAAACACGACCATGCGAAATAAAGAAGGGACTCTATATGCACTCCCTCAAGTAAAATATAATCTTGTATTTCATTTTGAAATGTTTTTTTTTATTTTATTATATCCTAATCAACTTGATGAATTAACGAAAATTTCTTAGTTTACATATTGATAACGTTAAGTACTTAACCTCATTACATTACTGACGATAATTAATTAAAAAGTATCCATCGTTTTGACAATAGCTATACCTGTCATTATACTTTTCTAGATGGACACGGAGTCTGATTTTTTTTAGATTTTTTGTTTTACTGTTTTTGGAAGTTTTAGTTGGTCGTGGCTTAGTTTCGTATTATTGGACAATAAGATACACAGTATTATATAGTTTACAAAAGAAATGAGGGAAATAGTTCATATCCAAGGAGGCCAATGCGGAAACCAGATTGGGGCTAAGGTGAATAGCCTACTATACTACTAGTTCGGTATTGTTATATCTATTTCATGAATAGTTGGTTTTACACGATCGCCAAAGATGACACGCTATAAGCTATATTTAGTTACTAACAGAATAATTAGAATATCCTCTTAATCGGATTAAATATTTGGATACTGGTGGTAGGACGTCTTATGAGTCCGAACGGGTAGGTACCACTACACTGCCTATTTCTGCCGTGAAGCGGTAATGCGTTTCGGTTTGAAGGGCGGGGCAGCCGTTGTACTGTAAAAACGGAGACCTTAGAACTTAAAGGTATGTGGCGGCATTTACGTTGTAGATGTCTATGGACTCCGGTAACTTCTTAACAACAGGTGGGCCGTGAGTTCAGCCATGAGTTCCAACCACCTAAGCAATAAAAATAAATACAGAAAATTGTTCTAAATGTCAACTGTTTTTTAGTTCTGGGAAGTTATATCCGATGAGCATGGCATCGATCCGACGGGAACGTATCACGGAGACTCCGACCTCCAGCTGGAGCGCATCAACGTATATTATAACGAGGCGACCGGAGGAAAGTACGTGCCTCGGGCTATCCTTGTGGACCTGGAGCCCGGGACAATGGACTCTGTACGCTCTGGACCATTCGGTCAGATCTTCCGTCCGGACAACTTTGTCTTTGGGCAATCGGGTGCTGGTAACAACTGGGCTAAGGGTCACTACACCGAAGGCGCAGAGCTGGTAGATTCTGTGCTTGATGTAGTCAGAAAAGAAGCTGAAGGTTGCGACTGTCTGCAAGGATTCCAGTTGACTCACTCACTTGGCGGAGGAACTGGGGCTGGTCTTGGAACGTTACTTATTTCTAAAATTCGTGAAGAATACCCCGATAGGATCATGAACACCTTTAGCGTTGTTCCTTCACCGAAAGTGTCTGACACCGTAGTTGAGCCGTATAACGCAACCCTCTCCGTACATCAGTTGGTGGAGAATACAGATGAATCATACTGCATTGACAACGAGGCTCTGTATGATATCTGCTTCCGCACCCTGAAGCTAACAACCCCAACTTATGGCGACTTGAACCACCTTGTTTCAGCGACAATGTCAGGCGTGACGACTTGCCTACGGTTCCCTGGTCAGCTGAATGCAGATCTGCGCAAGCTAGCAGTGAACATGGTGCCGTTCCCACGGTTGCACTTTTTCATACCGGGTTTCGCGCCTCTGACGTCACGCGGGAGTCAGCAGTACCGTGCGCTGACGGTGCCGGAGTTGACGCAACAGATGTTTGACGCGAAGAACATGATGGCGGCTTGCGATCCGCGCCACGGTCGCTACCTGACTGTGGCCGCTATTTTCCGAGGTCGCATGTCTATGAAGGAGGTGGACGAACAGATGATGAACATTCAAAACAAGAACTCATCGTACTTTGTTGAGTGGATTCCAAACAATGTTAAAACAGCGGTTTGCGATATTCCGCCTCGAGGACTAAAAATGTCTGCTACATTCATAGGCAACTCAACAGCAATACAGGAGCTGTTTAAACGTGTCTCGGAACAGTTCACGGCTATGTTCAGGCGCAAAGCGTTCTTACACTGGTATACGGGCGAGGGTATGGACGAGATGGAGTTCACCGAGGCAGAGTCAAACATGAACGACCTGGTATCGGAGTACCAACAGTACCAAGATGCTACTGCTGAAGAAGAAGGCGAGTTCGACGAGGAGGAAGAAGGGGGAGACGAGGGCGACTAGACTTTTTACTTTACTAAGATGGATTTTGTGATATGGTTTTTTGTAATAAATTATTTTTCTTATACTATATTCTCATTGAATGCTTCTTGTATTAGAAGGCATTGCTTAAAAGCTAATTCATTATATCTGACATCAAACGCTGTAACTGCAAATGATTTAAATTAGTTTAGTTTCTAGGTATATAGCGCGTAATTTTCCGTCGAATTAGTGATGCGAGTGTTTGCGAGTGATGTTGAATAGTGCATGAATGACCACCTAGAATGCTTTCTTTGATGTCATCATTACAAGGCTTTTTGCATATAAAGTTTACATTCGTATTTAAAGTTAAAGTAATTCGAAATTTAAAAGGGTAGGTATGGAGTTATTTGAGATTGATATTTCTGCTTGCTGACTGTTTGAAGTCTGAGATTTATTAACTTAGTATTTTTGTGGTTTAGTGTTGTTCGGGCAAATTAGCCAAACCCCTTCTCACGGTGCGTGCGCTCTAGCCCATTGATTTTTAAATAATATATTGAGTGGCAGGCACCCTTAGTACATGAACTTCTCAATATGCGTGTCCCTTACCGATCATAATATAGAAATGGAAGCAAACAGCTACTGGCTTCCGAACTGGAACGCAATACACCATCACGTCATTTATATAGTTTGTATATGACGATGGCAAATTTTCAAGTAGGATTATAAACCTACCTATCGCCATTAGTTTGAGGTTTTTTATTTTTTTTTATGGCTGAGGTAGCTGGACGAGTTCACAGCCCACCTGATGTTAAGTGGTTACTGGAGCCCATAGACATCTACAACGCAAATGCCGCCACCCACCCTGAGACATGAGTTCTAAGGTCTCAGTATAGTTACAACGGCTGCACCACCTTTCAAACCAAAACGCATTAGTGCTTCACGGCAGAAATAGGCAAGGCGGTGGTATCTACCTGTGCGGACTCACGCGAGTCCAGTAAAACCAGTTGAGGTGTACTATGATGATGTTTTTGCCTGTTTAAACATCTTTTTTGGAATTAAAATTTTGATCTTGGTTCATTAGCAAACAAATTGCTATACGGTTTCAATTCTATCATGAAAGCTTTCACGTTTAAACAATGAAAGTTCGAACTTACTTGCTTCCTACATAACCCTAATTATTCAACTCAGCAATTCTCTTTACGGAGTCAACGAGCTTCGAAAGTCAGTTATGTGATGTGTTAAGCGCTGTCCCGTTCTTTCACATGTAATCTCACATACGTCGCATTCGTGTGTTTGCTTAATGACCTTTTCACGGGGGTCATGTGCTTAATGAATTAGTATATAAAGGCTGATAAGACCAAAGTTTAATCTGTAAATGAAATTCTGAAGATTTACAGACTTTCAAATGTTGATTCGTTCGTCTTTAATTGACCGGATTAACGATTTGAATAGCACTAGTTTAGTATCTGTATTATTATTTGATTATAGCAAATCGCTACAAGAGAATGTGTGGACCGCGTTTAGTCTATATAAACGTATGCTGGACAACTTCGCGGCAGAAATAGGCGGAATGGTTTTTTACCAATGAATACATACAATTTAGATTTTGACGTTACGCCTCTGATTGGCGGCCTTCACATTACGATATCTATGGGCTCCGTTAATTATCGAGAGAGGAAGAGATAGCGAGATCGAGAGCAAGACTGAGTGAGGGAGAGAGAGAGACAAAGAGACACAGTGGGAGAGAGATAGACAGAGATATACTTTATTGCACACCAAAACTCAATTAACATCGAAAACAGTCAACAGGCAGGTATAATGGCAGAATAGACAGATCAAGCCCATTGTACCAAGTTTTTTTTTTATTGCTTAGATGGGTGGTCGAGCTCACAGCCCACTTGGTGTTAAGTGGTTACCGGATCCCATAGACATCCACAACGTAAATGCGCCACCCACCTTGAGATATAAGTTCTAAGGTCTCAGGTATAGTTACAACAGCTGCCCTACCCTTAAAAACGATACGCATTACTGCTTCACTGCTTCACGTCAAAAATAGGCGGGGTGGTGCTACATACCCGCGCGGACTCACAGAGGTCCTACCACCAGTAAGTGCCACAAAGATAAACACTTATTTTCTACGTATCATCCCTAAAAATTTCAATTGTCCAAAGCTTTATAAACGATTAACTAAAACACATACATTCAAAAAAACGTCATATTTAATAAAAGCAGAAATTTGTTGTCAACGTGTTTTTTTATTGACAGTACCTACAGTAATCAAGAAAATGAACGCACTCACATTATGAAAACGACGATACACAAAACAGATGAGACCGATTGTGCTTAACAGATCAATTCTACTAATGCGTTTTATTCAGGACGCTACACAAATGCGAGTTCCTTTTTGGGACGGTTTGTGTTTGTGAACATCGAAATTTGTTGCTTTAGAATATTAACGGACCGATTTTTATATAACGTTTTCCGCGTTTTTTAAATCTAAGACGACAGGTGCTCGAATATGAGATTTAGATAAAAGACAATTGATCGTTTGGAACCTCTGGGTCTGCGGAGGGACTTCGGTTCCCTCTGTATTCTGTATGGTATGTTCCATGGGGAGTGCTCTGAGGAATTGTTCGAGATGATACCGGCATCTCGTTTATACCATCGCACCGCCGGCCACCGGAGTAGAGTTCATCCACACTACCTGGAGCCACTACGTTCATCCGCAGTGCGTTTCCAGAGATCTTTTTTGCCATGTACCATCCGGCTATGGAATGAGCTCCCCTCCACGGTGTTTCCCGAGCGCTATGACATGTCCTTCTTCAAACGAGGCTTGTGGAGAGTATGAAACGGTAGGCAGCGGCTTGGCTCTGCCCCTGGCATTGCTGACGTCCATGAGCGACGGTAACCACTCACTATCAGGTGGGCCGTACGCTCGTCTGCCTATACGGCAATAAAAAAAAATTGGGATCTAAAGTTATAAGATATAATTAAAAAAATCATATATTTTTTTGGTATCTATAATTTATCTTCCTCTTTCTTCTACTGTGAAAGCTGCAAACTGCCCAAACTATGTATTAACGAGTAAGAACTCAATTTCATGTCATCAAACACTTCGATAAAGCGGCACGACACGAGAACCCTCTCATCGTGGCCGCCGGTAACTACATTCCCGATCCTGCAGACAGAATGGAAAGCAGTCGACGTCGCCCAAAACACGTCATCTCGGATCCTCCCGATCCACTAACGGTGCTTTTAGGCACTTCAAGCACCGGTCACCGTTCTCGTCGAACCCGCCGCTTGCGACGAAGGGCTCGACGAGTAAATTAACTCTCAGACACAGCCCACTGAGTTTCTCGCCGGATCTTCTCAGTGGGTCGCGTTTCCGATCCGGTGGTAGATTCTGCGAAGCACGGCTCTTGCTAGGGTTCGTGTTAGCAACGTCATCAGGTTTGAGCCCCGTGAGCTCACCTACAAACGTTAGGGTTACGCTGAAATAGCCNAGACACAGCCCACTGAGTTTCTCGCCGGATCTTCTCAGTGGGTCGCGTTTCCGATCCGGTGGTAGATTCTGCGAAGCACGGCTCTTGCTAGGGTTCGTGTTAGCAACGTCATCAGGTTTGAGCCCCGTGAGCTCACCTACAAACGTTAGGGTTACGCTGAAATAGCCTCTCAAGGCTCTCAGCTTAGGTAGGAAAAAAAAAAAGTCATCAAAGTGTTTTTTACTGAGCCCACAAAAAGTCTAGTCTACACTAAGGAATAATCATGTACACATTCAATAAACTAAATAGCGTATTTTCATTTGATGAATCTGATTTATTATTGTTTAAGGGTTATTATTGATTGAGATTGCGATAAGGTCACGTAATGAGACTTTGGCGTGTCGAGCGCGGCGTTACGACACGAATTACATTTTTGTTTTAAATGTTACTATGCTATTTTCGTTGCTTAATCGATCTGTGTACATTTATAACGCTTGTTAGAAGTCGAAGAGAGTTCGTAGTATTTTCTTCGCTTTTCGTGAGTCGTAGATACAATGCAAACTACTTCAATATAGCGTTTTTTTATTGTCATTATATCGAGTGATGAACGAACGGCTATTTGGTAAAAGCGACATTTTATTTAATACGCTACATTTAACTTTATAGTAATCAAATGTAATGTATAAGTGAAATCGTCGTGGCCTAAAAGATAAGACGTCCGGTGCATTCGTTTTGAAGCGATGCACCGGTGTTCGAATCCCGCAGGCGGATACCAATTTATCTAATGAAATACGTACTCAACAAATGTTCACGATTGACTTCCACGGCGAAGGAATAACATCCTGTAATAAAAATCAAACCCGCAAGATTATAATTTGCATTTGCATTTACGTTGTAGATGTCTATGGGTTCCAGTAGCCACTTATATATTTTTTATTGCATACTTGCTTGGACGAGCTCACAGCCCACCTGGTGTTAAGTGGTTACTGGAGCCCATCGACATCTAGAACGTAAATGCGCCACCCACCTTGAGATATAAGTTCTTTTGAAACCCGCCTTACAAGTCGAACAAGCCAATAGAACCAAATGGATCCCGGTTAGGATAATACGCCAAAATAATTGAATATGCTATGTGCTAAATTCATCTGTTCTTGTTACGTGTGAAAATTTTAAACTTAACTAGACCTCTTGAAATTAATAAAAATTAAATTGTAAAATTCCGTTACAATGATATAAAAAAAGACGTGTGACACTCGGGGAGTGCCGCGGTAAAGCTATTGCAAAGCATTTTTTATCAACTTATGCAATTACAATTAGACAATAATAATTTAATATTAAAACAATAAATAAAATAAGACCACGCTATATTTATAAACATTAACAAAAGCAAAACATTAACTGTCCCCTTCACACTCATAAGCGCGTCTACCGCGTGAGAGAGAGATGGGCAGACTTTTCATGATGCTCATGCAGTGCGACGTCACGCCGCGCGCTTATTCACAAACACTACATCTGCGCAACGTGTGAATGTGTTGAACGCGAGCTACATAGTAGGCGTAG